GGAAAGGTTGCCTACCCCTGGTTTAGATGGCTTTAAAAAGGGTTGAGATATGTATGAAACAGAAGGTGTGAATTCATTCTGGAACAAATGAAAATCTTAAGCAAATAAGAGCCTTTTGATGTTCAGGGATTCCTCAGGAGACAAGGAGATGTGGCAAGTATTTCCTGAAGGCAAAAAGCTTGAAAACCCCTGCCTAGACCAATCCACACTACCTTTAAGCTGCAGGGCTAAGATTTAAGCTGTAATAGTCCTATTGATTTAACTGCTGAACACCACATGCCAGCTGTTAAGTTTTTCATTGGCAATAAGATGCAAAGTTTTATTGTATTTGTCTCTCTTTGCTCTTTGTGAGTGAGAACAACACTCCTGTTAAACAACTGAGACCAGGATACTATCAGGGTTTTTTAACAAGGGTGATTGGATTTTCTTTGTGGGATCAAACACAATGATAACAAAGAATAGAAAATCCCTTTCCATTTCATTTATCCATTTTTCACAGCCATGTAAAGTGATAGTATGAGAAGAATACTGAGAAAATTGTTTTGCTTTCCCCAGGTCCTCCTTTTACCTTGCATTAAATAGATTCTTCTCAGAACTTATCCATTTGGACTACAATTTGCAGCCATTGGCCATGCCAATTTCGGGGGGGGGGGGGGGAGTCCAAAAAGGCAAACTGTTTCTTCTTCCTTCTGTGAGCAATAGGAATTGCTTGGCAACCTTCACATGGCATTTCATTTTTGAAGGGAGAACACTAGAGACAGATGGTATCTGTGTAATGTCTCTTGATTTACAAATGCACAAGCTAGGCAATTAAGTATGGGAATGTAAAAACAAGCCAGCAGCAGACTGTCACTAGCTTAGCCACACACACAGTTGGCCTTCTGTATCCACACATTTTGCATCCATGGATTCAGTCAACAGCATTTCAAAAATGTTTGAAAAAAATCCAAAAAGCAAACCTTGCTATTCACCATTTTATATAAGGGGTGCCATTTTACTATGCCATTGTATATAATATAAGGCGAGCATCTACCGATTTTGGTATCCATGGGGGGTCCTAGAACCAAATTCGAGCCATTACTGAGGGCCTCCTATGTGTGTGTGTGTAATGTATATATCTCATGTACTCAGCTGTGCTCAAATTATTACATTATCTTCTTCATATCTGTGCATGAAAGTGTGTATGTATGTGTGAGCCCCCTACATTTTCAACCAGTAGTGGGAAATGTGTGGCCCTTCAGGGACTATTGGAACGCAACTCTTATCATTCCTCATCATTGGCTACATGGGCTAATGGTGATGAGAGTTGTCGATCCAACAATTTCAGGGGGAACATACATTTCCTATGCATTAAATAGTGTGCATGCTCTCTACCAGCATACTACTGACTGAATGATTCAAGCTAACTTTAAACAAAGCCACATTTCTCTGTAGCCTTTACTTGTCCTACATCAAACATGAGTGAGAGACCAGGAATGGAAAGAATATTTGTGTATGTGTGTGTGTGTGTGTGTGAAAGCCTGTGTTTCTTGACTTATCAAAAATTCTTAAGAAGAAGAATCCTGGACTGATGAGACCTTTCACAGTTCAAGACTACAAACAATTTGTATCTCGTGGTTTTGCACAACCAAACAAAACAGAATTTTCTGCACATAAAAGAAAACTTTTTTTTTTTTTTTACAGAAAATAGAATACACCTCCTTGGAGTGAGGTGGTATTTCCTTCTTTGGAGGTTTTTAAACAGAGGCTAGATGACCTGGAAGTGCTTTGATTGGGGGTTGGACTGGATGGACCTTGTAGTCCATTCCAACTCTCTAATTCTATAAATGCTCCCCCCCCACATCAAACATACTGTTTGTGCAAAACAACCACATCCAAATTTTACACAGAATAAGTCTTGTTTTGCAAATAGTCTTTGAAAACTGAACAACTTCTGAAGACTTTCTTGTAATGGGGAGAAAATTTCTGAAATTGTTGCTTGAAGAATAAAAATAGTGAATAATTGCCTCCTTGTGTCTTTACTGAGCCTCAGGGATATAAATAAGTGGTTCTCAAAGAAGCATAAGAATGTCTAATTAGTACTATTAAAAGGAATAAACTACTAAATTGAGAGTGAGTTTGGCCTGAACCTTATTGGTGGTCCTAACTATACATTAAATCAATAGTTGAATGGTGAATCAACACTCATCTAAATCCCATACATATGTAGTGTTATTATGAAAGCTGCATTTAGCACATCAGCTACAAGTTCTTCATGACTGTTCTGATCAATATATTAAGACCAATAGGAATGGACACTGACATTATCCTAACAAATAAAATTTCTTTATGAAATCCATTTTACTTGCTGGTAGATATGTGTGGGGAATGTACATATAAGAATGTTAGTATTTTCAAAGAATAGAGGACAATGGAGCATATCTTCCAATTTTTTTCAAATTTGGGGGCATAGGATTCATAGATCATGTCTATACAATGGAGCCTTGGAATCTTCTGGTGGTTTGGTTCCAGGATCCCTTATGAATATCATGGATGCACAAGTCCTATTATATATAATGAGGTAGGAAAATTATATCTCTTATATAAAATGGCTTTTGGACATATATATATTCTCAAGCTGTGGATGGTTGAATCAATTGATACAGAGGGCCAACTGTCTATAAATAACAGACTGAAGAGAGAAGATGAGAAGATATTTTTCTATTGTACCATGGGTGATAAAAAAAAATGATCAGAGCAGATGTGGAGAATGTCAGCCCATTTGCTAAATGCAAGCCGTGGATGGTTGAATCAATGGAAACAGAGGGCCAAATGTATATAAAAAACAGACTGAAGAGAGATGATGAGAATATATTTCTTTATTGTACCCTGGGTGATAAAATAATAATAAAAAAGGCAGCTTTAAGCCAGTGTGTGTATGTAACTTAAAGCTGCCTGTTGATTTATGACAACCCCTTGAATTTTATAGGGTTTTCTTAGGCCAGAAATATTCACAGGTAGTTTGCCATTGGCTTCCCCTTAACCATAGCCTATACATCACACTGATAGTTGTGATCCACCACTGATGGCCACAAGGGAACTTGGAAGAACTCTCTCCCAGTCTTCAATGAGTCTTAGAGATTTTAAAAATGGAAAATGGTTTAAAAACATGTTTTTCAAGTGTTGGGAAATGTGGTGAGGAGAATCCTGGGCAGAGAAGAAGCAAAAGTTGTATTTTGCTTGTGCAGGAAACAGCTTTTTTAAAATTATTGTTCTAAAAAACATTGCTGTGCAGAACCTGCTGTTCTGTGTTGAAAAACATATGTGTGAATTTTGTGCAGAAGAAATCCCAAATTGCAAATAGTCTTTGAAAGCAGCACTTTCAAAGACATTCTTGCAGCAGGAAGAAAATTGCTAAAATTACTTGTGGGTAATTTCCTTCCAAGATGAAATTAGGAAAGAATTTTACTCCTACTGAGCCTCAGAACTTAGTCGGTCATCTTGGACAAGTCCCTTTCTCTCTAACTAAAGTACTGCATGGTGTTTCTGTGAAGACAGAAGAGAATAATATAACCACTTTCAGCTCACTGGAAGAAGACAAGATATAAATGTAACAATAAATAAATCTAATATGTGCCAAAATGCAACTTATACTGTGTCTGATCAGAAGAGAGATGAGCAACTCTACATGTTGTTCCATTGCAGCTTGAGAAATTGTTGGACTGAAGCTCTCATCATCCCTTATCATTGGCAATTATGGCTAGGGCTGAGTCCAAGAGTTCTAGTGTTTTAGTTTCATGAGTGGACTTGACACTCTCTAGCAAAACTAAAGCAAAAACAAAAATTAAGTCCCTCACAAAAACTATAAATCCCAGGGCTCCATGGGACACAGCCATGGTCATTAAGGTGAATTCCAGCTGTTATAATTATTCAGCATGGATACACCCACTCAACAGCTCTCACACAGAACCATGAAATTCAGCAGCCATGTGGTGAATTCTTTCACTTTATGTAATGCTTACTTCTGTGGCAAGAATAAGTAAATGATTTTAAAAAGAGAACCCTAAGAGTGTGCAATCCATTGAACTAGGCATTACAGAATGAGAGTAACAAGCACTGATAGAGAGATACATTGTAGTTCTATTTTTCTTTTCTTTTTTTCTATTTTTATCTATTCCATTTTCCCTTCCTTCCTTCCTTTGTGTGTGTGTGTGTGTCTGAGAGGCTAATGGCTAGTTTTTCCAAAAAGCAGAAAATGAATGCAGAACTTTGGAAAACTCATGGCACTTCATAACCTTCTGTTCCAGAGCTGTTCCAAGGGTGCTAGGAAGCTGAGTTGTACCTCTACTGCATTGTTCATCACTTCTCACACAGACAGCACTTTCAATTAAGTCCAAAGCTTTCAGTCAACAACTATGCACCTGGGGAATGTCACCAGCCCTCAATAATCAATATGCAAGTTATGATGGACTGACAGCTTCATGGCTCAGTGAATGTCCCTTGGTTTTTACCTCCTCTTCCTCTTGCTGCTGAACAATGAAGAGTATATGTAGCATGAAGAAACCAACTTAATTAAGCTGAGGGATATGGATGAGAAACGCAGCCAAGAGTAAACAGTCATGCAGTAATTTATAGGGCAGGCTTACTGAGGGTGTGTGTGTGCCTTTTCGTTTTGTTTTACTTATTTTGATTAAAGCAAATCTACCCCAGAGATTTAAACTGTTTTAATTATAAGATCTGCCTCTCAGGAAAGCTGGGGATGCAGCATTGTTAGGGATCTCTAAGAGAAAATTTTCAGTAAACTACAATTCTCTGGGCTCTTCAATTGGAATGAGAGCCAGGAAAGTGTAGCTGATTTTTTTCTTTATTTTTTTTAAAAGTGTAACTTTGTGATGTAAATATGTTTATAGCTTGTTGTTGATGTGTGCATTCAAATTGTTTCTGACTTATGCAACTCTAAGGAGAACCTATCACATGGTTTTCTGGGGTTTAGAGTAAATAACGTGAGCAGTAGATTTCCATGTCTGAGCAGGGAATAGAACCCTGGTCTCCAGAGTTGTAGTCCAACACTCAAACCACTACATCATGCTGGCTCTCACATTCCTAGTTTGGAACAGTGTGTTCCAAATTTTGATCCTCCAGATGTTTTGTACTTCAGCTCCCAGATTACTTGACTGCTGGCCAAGCTGACTAGGGCTTCTGGGAGCTGCAGTCCAAAATACCTGAAAGACAAAAGTTTGGTAATTTCTGGTTTAAAAGGACACATTACTGTACCAGAGTTGCTTCTGGCTGCTGTCAGTGGGGGGAATTAATAATTTCCAAAATTTAGTTCAAATTTTACAGGAACTGGCCAAAGTGCTGAACCTATTTGGGTGATAGGTGATACTCCTTGGACAACTCCTTTAAAGTTCCAACTGAAACCCAGAGGGGATATCTTCCTGATATATGCATTCTCTAAACCTACAACTAAATCAATTCAAAAGACCTGAGAAACACTGCTGTAGCCATGGTAGCTGGTGATCTCTATATCAGACTGGGGATCTGATATGGGGATCACCAGCTGCCATGGCTACAGCAATATTTCTTAGGCATTTTGAACTTATTTAGGTGTAGGTTTATAGGATGTATAAATCAGGGAGATAGGAAAGAACAATGGCTAAAATTCAGTAACCTGGAGATATACATCTGTAACTTATTTGTTTTCACAGTACCTAGCATGAAGAGGAATTGTAACAGGGATCCTTCTTCTGATTTTTACACCAGGGATCACTCATAGGAGGTGGGGTGGAAACATCAGTCTGCTAGGCCTGATAAACAGGAGAACAGACCTTCCAAAACTTGCAGTGGCTATTGACTGGTAAAGTAGGATGGAGGAGGGGGAGTTGGGGGGGGCATGAGGCCAGAAGATGATACTCAGTTAAAGGTACTTAATTTGGGATGCAACAAATAAAGGTTGAGATTCTAGTTAAGTAGCTGATTTAGGATTTCAGCCTTTATTTATTCTCTCAGAAAACAACAGAACAGAGTACATAAGAAATTTCAAACACCTTTTCTTTCCACTCCCCACACACCAAAAAGCAAAAACAAAAAAAGGATCAAATGCATCTTAGTGGTTAAACCAGTGGTATTCAAAATGTTTTACCTTAGGACTCCACCCTTTCATCTACCTGTGGACATCATGCCCACCCCTCCATTCAATGTAGTATATGAATAAAAATATTTTGCTTACTTAGTGTGCATATTTTCATCCCCACATTCATGTTTATTCATATTTTATCATTTTATAATGAAATCACAGTGTTCAAATTAGAACAGTTTTATTTAAGTAAATTCAATATTTAACTCAACACATGTGTAAACTGTACACATCAAAAAGTTTGGGAAGAAGAAGAGGAGGGATCAAGACCTACAACTCTCATGCTCCCCTTGAACAACTGTTATGCCCCCCCCTCCAGTGTCCTACCCCACTGTTTCAGAACCACTGGGTTAAACTATATAATAACACTACCCGCTATCTACTACCAGCTTCCCACCCAGCCACTAGTTATGTGCATGCATGCAGCCTCTTGCTGTATAGGGGTTTGGTGCAGAAGGAGTGGGAGAAGGGAAGCATATTTCACTTATTCATCCCCAGAACTCCTTTTCTCACCCAGGTTTCTCTTATGCCCAGGTTTTCTCACCATTTCTGTGCATGAAGTATGAAGTGAAAAACCATGTCTCAACTGGATGGAGAAAAAAACCCTCTGTTTTAAGAATTTGTCTTGTAACTGCATGCCCCACCTGCTCCCTGGTGAACTATAGCCACATTATGGTAGTGCATGAGGCCTACAGAGGAAGGGAAGTAGAGAATGGCATGACATCTGATAAACTGCCATGGAAGAAGGGCATTGGCAAGTTCCTGGCATAAAAGAAAATTTCTGTGTGCTCTTTGGCTAACCTATAAAAAGTGGCATAGTCTTTGGAAAGGACTGGCTGAATGATCAGTGATAGCTTTCTTGCAAAGGTCATCACTAAGCTGCACACACAGACAGGTATCCTTAATTGCATGGCCTTCACTGACTCTTCTTCAAGGAGCATAACCAATGCCTCTGAGACTGCTGACAGTTTGGTTGTTGGAGATGTATCTGTCCATAAAGTTGCACTCATAATAACAGAGAATAATTTCCCTTTTTTTATTTCAGTGACAGTAAAAAAATTCTCATTGTCTAACAATAACTTTTCTTCCCTCTTTGTCTCAGTTCTGCCTTCACATTGCATACCAAATAGTCTCCTGGCTTCTGGCAGCATTGGTTAATGTGCATCTCAAATAATATCCCATTATTCTATCATGTATATTTTACTGCTTAACAGGAACATTATGAGGTTTCAGGTGTCTATGTATATGGAATTACTGACAAAGTGCCATAAGAGTGTCACTTATAATACAGCTAATTCAACAACAAAGAGCCCTTCAAGAAATGCATATGCCACCACCACCTCCATATATATATAAGTTCCATATAGTTTGCCACCTACAGAAGAAGAAAAAAGTCACAGTTGCTTTAATCATCTTAAAGTAACTTTACATAATAAATAAATAAATAATAGAATCATTTCTTTTCCTCTTGCTTGGAAACCTGATTGCTTAGCAGCCTGGAGGAATTTTATTACTCACAAAGAAGCAGGTATATTTACTAGAAAAGACTTTAGAAACACATAATTGAGAACATTTTGAACTCTCTTCAGCTTAGTAAGTGTAAAATGTTCTCTAAGCTTTTAAAATATTCCCCAAGCACCACTCTTTTACATTTTCAGTAGTGCTGTTAGACAGATCTAAGCTAGACTGAGATCTAATACTCCACAGGGATGACATTTTGCTATTTTAATATGTTGCAATTTGAGAATGGAACAGAATGTTATTGTTTATATTAATAGTAAGGCTTAGAGAGCTCCTCTGTGCAAAGAAGGCCATTGTGTTGCTTACTTATTTGATGACACTGGACATAGACATATGTAGGTAGAGTAAAAACTTGGTGTTTTGTTCTCAGGACCTGCTGGTATTATGAGGTCATTCACTGAACTGCAGAAAACAACGGCTGAGTAAACTACTTTCAGCTGTATGTTGCTGTATCCACATGGCAGAAATAATCTAGTTTGACATTATTTTAACTGCCATGGCTCAGTGCTATGAAATTCTGGGAACTGCTTTGCTTTGGTGCCCCAACAAACTGCATTTTCCAGAATTCCATAGCAGTTAAAGTGGTGTCAAACCAGATTATTTCTGCCATGTGGATGCAGCCTGTGTGTATTGTGTGCCTTTAAGTCATTTCTGATTTGTGGTGACTGGACTGAAAGAAAGGTACAGCAGACTTTCAAAAGAAGGAGCAAGGAGCAACCAAAATGATCAAGGTAACTCCAGTATGCAGAAAGGTTGCAGTGTTTGGGGTATTTTAGCTTGGGAAAAGAGACTAGTAAATGTAAATATAACAGAAATGTAATATGTGTGGTGTTGAGTATAGTGAATGGTTAAATCATGTAGTTCCTTGGCCAAATTACTAATGGAACAAGAGTTATCTGACAAGTTGAAACAACACATATTTTTAATCTCTTCACACCCATGATTGTGTAGCAAGAGTAAGGGGGGTTGCAGACTGCCAGAAATAGTGTGAATTCAGTCCACTTTTAGGGTTAGGGTTAGTGCTAGGGAATCATGGGAACTGTTATTTTCCTGAGACATTGAGCCTTCTCTGTCAGACAACTCTGGTGCCACAATAAAATACAGTTCCCATGGTTCCCTAACTCTAACCCTAACCCTAAAAGTGGACTGAATTCACACTATTTCTGGCAGTCTGCAACCCCCCTAAGTAATCTATAGCTGCCCTATTATCCAGCATGGCATTTCTAAGTTCATGCTGCTCTTCATTTAGCATAGCTAGGGCAGTAGATGTGGCATTTATATTTTTTT